TCAAATGAGAGCGCTTTAATCCTACAACACTCGCCTTGTCATCGCTGTATCGCCGCAGTCGCGAGCTGTATCGAACAACCTCCCTCTCCCCTCCGCCAAAATGGCGATCGATCCGCCCGCGGAGTTTCTCAGGCCTTTATGGGCTTGGGCTGAAGCTACGCCCGTCTACATTCTTTTGACATTACTTCTCGCACTTATTGCGCTGGCACTTCTTGGGGTATGCACTGCACCGAACCCCTCTAGGGCCCCGCGCGTAATCGCAAGCTCACCATTCCTAGCTCTATGTCATCCTCCATCTCGTCGCGCCAAAGCCTCGACCCGTCTACGCCTCCGAAAAGACCTACCTTACCAGCCATCCCACTGAAGGACGCACACAGCCTCAACCTCTCCCCTGCTGGTACGATCGCTGGCTCGCTGAGCGACAGGCTAGCGAGCAGCACGTCCGCCCCGACGAAGCGTTCCCTACTCCCGATGCTGGAAACATCGAACCCGCCGAAGTGCGTCTGAGCGTCGTCTTCCCAGCCTACAATGAAGAAGCTCGCGTTATCCCCACCCTTGAGGAGGCTGTCACTTATCTCGATGAACACTTTGGCCGAACCAAACAAGCTGGACCTAGCGGAGCGAGTCCTACGACTAAGAGACATGTTCGGAACGCTCCTAAGGAGGATCTCGGCGGATATGAGATCTTAGTTGTCGACGATGGAAGCAAGGATAAGACAGTGGATGTTGTCCTCAAGTTTGCCCAAGAACACGGCCTCCATGACATTCTTAGAGTTGTCTCACTTGCTCGCAACAGAGGCAAGGGCGGAGCGACTACTCATGGCTTTCGACATGTGAGGGGTGAGTATGTCCTATTCGCTGATGCTGATGGCGCATCCCGTTTTTGTGATGCTGGTAAGCTCATTGAAGGATGCGAGGAGGTTGTCGATGGGTCACGTCGCGGCGTTGCTATTGGAAGCCGAGCCCATCTCGTTGGCAGCGAAGCCGTTGTTAAGGTAATCCAACCCTCTCGTCTATAACAATTGTACCAACTAACACAACTAGCGCTCGGCTCTACGAAACTTCCTCATGCGATCTTTCCATCTCGTGCTCATGATCCTCACGCCCCCGGCAACATCGCGCATCCGCGACACCCAATGCGGCTTCAAGCTCTTCTCACGAGCATCCCTCCCACACATCATTCCCTACATGCACACTGAGGGGTGGATCTTCGACATCGAGATGCTCATGCTCGCAGAGTCAGCACCAGCGACACCAGTTCTTGGCCACGATGGCAGTGTTATTGGCACCAGTCCCGGCATCAAGGTTGCTGAAGTGCCCATTGAGTGGCACGAGGTTGGTGGCAGCAAGCTCAACGTCATTCAGGACAGTATCAAGATGGCTATTGGCCTTGCAGTGCTGAGAGCGAGTTGGATGTTTGGTGTCTATCGAAGACGATTGACATAGGATGGAGGTCAAGAAATCAGGCAGGATATGAGCGCAAATGTTCAGTAATCACAACGATCATGCATGCCTAGTTGAATAAAACACACAAAAGTCAACAAATCTGCCAAGGACATGAATATGAAAGGTTCGCCCTACACACGATTAGGCTGACAAGACACAGCAAAGTGAAGTTCAGTTGCAATTAATATTAATCTTGAAATGGCAATATACTTGTGTCTCCCAAATTCTAACCACAGGTAGTATGGGGATCAAGCATGCGTATGTGTGTATATCTAAAAACGCACTCCCGCTCAACACTCCGAAATGCTCAAATGTCTCATAACCACCCATGAAAAGAAGGGTATATGTACAGTCATCCTTCTGCTCTGATCTGATGTCTTCCATTTCTGAAAGATATTTAGATTCGTTTTTGAAATTCGACATAAAAGTCCCAAGCCAAAGCTCCATAAACGCCGCAGCTCTCGCTACTTAAACACACCATGCTCTTTTTCTCTTCTTTTTTTTTTTTTTCAAGCTCCAGATTTACTGGAATGTCTCACGGTACATAATGGGAAGGAAGACAATGCATGCCTTCCAGAGAATGAGAACGGCATCGATGATGGCGAGAGGAGCCTTCAAGATGCCCGAGATACCGCAGCCAACGACGGTGCAGGCGTTGAGCCAAATGGCGAGGAATGCAACGGAGAAGAAGTGGTAGGCGAGGATGAAGGGGCGCTGGAGCATGCCAGCCAAGAGAGCAACGGGGCCGTCAGTTGAGCCGCGCTTGAAGTAGTTGAAGCATCCGTACTGAAGAGCGCGGAGCTGACGGTCGTTGGCTGCGAACAAGGAGTACAGAGCCTGAGCGAGAACGTTGATGATACCGGTCAAAGGTTTGCGCTTCCAGTAGAGCTGGTCAAGCGCATTGTTGATGGCCTTGTTGTCAGCGAGATCAGACACCTTGCTAGGGTGCAACTCATCGGCGAGGATAACAACATCGTTGAATGCGACAGTCATACCACCACCAGTAAGAGGGTGTCGCATGTTCATGGCGTCACCGAGGAGAATGGCTCCGTTGGCGCGCTGCTTCGTGGGAGGAAGCCAGCTGTTGGGCATGCTTCGGGGAATCTTGCCATCCTCAAGAGCCTTCTCCGCTGAGGGTCGGATGCTAGTAGGGAGCGCAGGAAGGACATAGTTGCGGATGTATCCACGAACACCACCATTCTCAGGTGAGGCTTCGGGGATACCTTGAGGCACATCGATAAGAGCGCGGGTCTCGTGAGTGCCGATCTGGTAGAGAAGGATAGGGAAAGCATTGCCAATGATGACATGGCCGTGGCCAGGTTCAGGGAGATCGCAGTCGATGAGCTCAAGAGCGTAGAACTTTGAGCAGACCTTGGGCTTCGTCCTGAGAACCTCCTGGCGCCACTTGGAATCGTAACCGTCAGCGATAATGGTCAACTGGCCAAAATAGTAATCCTTCTCCTTGACACCAGTGTCCTTGTTCTTTGTGCGACTCTCAACACCGAGAATCTGGTCCGACACCTCTCCGCGCAGCGTCTTGACAACCTCTGTCTCAACAACAGTGATGTTCTTGTGGTTTATGCACGACTCTCGTAGCTTGGTGATAAAGCGGCCGTGGTGGAAACTGCATCCAGACGGCCTCTTATCAGCTGTGCTGTGACCTCCCCAAGCATGTGTAACATTGCCGCTATCGTCGAGACCGGGGTAAGAAACGAGGACCTTCTCGCCGTGGTAGAAGATAGTGTATCCGTGGCATGGCATGGCATCGATGCCCTCGAGACAGTGACCGAGGCCGATCTTCTGTAGTGAAGCGACACCTCCAGGCTGGAGAAGTTCGCCAACGATGCGATCGGGCTCCGATAGCCATCGCTCGAGAAGGAGAACGGATCGGCCCTGGTTTGCGAGGGCGTAGGCGATAGTGCAGCCGAATACACCAGCTCCTACAACGACGACATCGGCCTCGTGGTATTGTTCGCGACGGCGAGTCTGCGACTCGGTTGACGTGAGTACTGAAGCCATGGTTGAAATTATTGGCTGTTGTAGAAGTGAAAGGAAGTTGAGTCGCGGTAGTTGAGGAATTGTATAACAAGACTTTCGATGGGGAGTGGGGGGTCTATTAATCGCGGATCGGGGGGCGGCGAGAAATTGGATGGATTTGGCCCTGGGAATTAGGGGGTGGAAGTGGAAGTGGTCAAAGAGTAATAATAATAAGAGCAGCAATAAAAGGCAATGATTTTTATAAAGAGGATGAGATCAATGCTTTTATGCAAGATGACACAATATTCTCGCAGATGCGCAGTCGTAAAGTTAAACAAATAATATAATGTGAAGCCTTATCTCTTATAAACGTGAATCGGTTTTCGGGGGCCACAGAGCCTGTGACAATGACGCTCTCGACTTTTTGGGGGCAAGTATAAAAAAGGTTAGAAGAGAGATCGATCAATTGAGTGGAATTCTGGGCAATTGGACCGATTTAAACACCACAGACACTTTCAAAGACGACAATTCCTCTCGTCTGATCACAATTGACCGGATATGCGCCGTTTATAGTCTTCTTTTCCTCTCATTCTCGTGGGATTCATCCTCCAGGATATCAACAAATCAGCCTATAAACCGTCACTGAATGTCATGTCAGGGGCCCAAATTCAAAGAAACGAAGAAAAAAAAACCAACGAGAGAAATGGACCCTTGGACTGGCATGGGGCGATCCTGGCATTCTCTCTGGGGCTGTCATTATCGTAGCTCCAGGGGAATAACCCACTGTAAGGTCCCCTGGAACACTTCGACACTTCACCCCGCAACGCTGTGGTCTCCCTTTGTCGCAGCAATCGCGCCACCAAGACCCGTAGACGCCCTGACCGCTAAAAGAGCAGCCAACCACCGAAGACGAGATCTTGCGGGCATGGTTCGATGTGCGAAAAGGACACCGCCAGGTTCCGGGACTTTTCGCATGTGAAAGGCGTCGTCTCATAGAGAGAGAGATTCAGATCGTACGTGGTTCGAGCCAGTTTCTCCTCTGCTGAGTCCGGTATTACTTCGTCAAGAGTAGTAGAAAATACGTATTCGGAATGCGACTCTCAGGGTTTCTTTGGTTCCTGCGTCTGTTTAGCGGCTAGTGGCCAATCAGTTTCTGGCTGATGACCTCCATTAACTAAATCTCATGATGACGGGGTCAAGTCTACACGAATACGCTGCTGCATGTGACAATATCACCAAGCCCCACCTATAATCAACTCATCGAGAAACAGAATCACATGCGAAAATAGACAGCCATCCATTGCTTATCAATTGGCATGTGCTGAGAGGGGCACATTGAAACTCATGGAGTATTCAAAAGATACCTAGATAGATAGATAGGTTCTTTAAATAATGTTTTGTATTGTTTCTTTTATAGATAGTACCATAGCAAATACCATCATATGCTCATGTTCCCGGGTCACAAAGGAAAGTTAACGTGACCAAGAAGCCGATATACCCAAATACTTCTTCTGTAACCATAATGTCTACGCCATGCCAATGCATATCCATGTCTTCTAAGCCTACAACCTCTAATCTCAAGCCATTACTCTGGCTATTTCCTTCTCTAAATATATGTCATCCTCAGTAAGCTCAGGCGAGGGCGTCCTCTCTCGTTTCGTCCGCTCATGTCGTGATGTTCGGATCTTCTCTATCTTGTGCTGTCGAGTAGGCAATTCATCTTCGACGATCCTGTGCCTCGACTCGCCCAATACTTGGGGTGTTGAATCGCGTCTTGAAGACAACTCCCAGTCTGTATTCCGCTTATCCTTTGGCGTCTGGCGCCCGGATTGTGTCTCTGGGAAGAAGCCTCCTTCAAATGCCACTGGCTCTTCCACCGCCTTGAAAGCTCCAACAACCTCCTTAGTAACGGCCTCCCGCTCTTGTTTATTCGTCGCCCTCAAGGACTTGATATGTTCAAGAGCATCGTCAAGACGCAATAGTACTTGCTTATGCGTGTCCTCTCGCCTGTGGTCCGTGGCTGCCCTTGATGCCACATGCTTCATGGCTAACTTGACTGACTCCTTGCACTCTTTGCTACCCTGCCACCATTCTGACTTGGATATGAAGCTTGCAATAAGTGACATCAGATCTCTGTAACGTCCTTGTCCAGTATAGGAGTGGATGAGGCTGGCAAAGTTGAACTTGTTGTATGCCAGCTCACCCATACCATTCTGTTGTGCTGCCATTTCGCAGACCTTGATCGCGGCTTCAGGATTACCCTTTTGAGTGAGAACACGAGCCGCTTTGTTGTATACACTGTCATGAATGTGTTGACCCTTGGCAAGATTCTCGCGGAGTAAATCATTCACGTTGTCGCCAGCCTCAAGTCGAGCGACCAGCATAGGAACCAAAGCACCGCTAATGTCGTGATTTCTTATGTATGCCTCGTTGATGAGACACGTCACTGTGCCTGAATGGGGTCCTTCCAAGTGGATGTTGGCGACAACAGCAAGTCGAAGGCATCGTGATGAATCACCAAGCCCCTTCTTAGTTGCCTCCTTGTAGGCGCTGTAGACGCCAGTCCAGTCGTTCTCAAGTGCCAGAGTATTCATATGTTTGAAAGCTGCACGCTCATAGATAGATATTGAGTCGCCTCGGCGTTCAGGCAGGGTTGGGGCAATTCCATAGCAATCTGTCCTCTCTCCTGGCAGAGGTTTGTGGAGATCATGCAGACCACCTGCACTGGCGTAGCTGGTCAACAGAGGGTCCTTCAGCCATGGTGCAGAAGTTCGTGCATCCTTCAGCATGCGGATCACGTCAGCTCTCGACAGATTCCAGTATCTACAGCACTTGTCGGCAATCTCGTTGAAGAAGATCTGGTCCATTGCCAAGCCACCATCTTGGCAGAACTGCACCCACGCAACGAGAGCTTGAAGATTGCGGGTTCGGCCGTGCCTATCCATAACAAAGAAAGCTAGGGGCTTGTTCAAACTCATGTGGTGGTTGCTGACAAGATTTCTCACAAAAATATCCATCTCCGTGGTTGTGTGATCCTTGCAATAGATCTTTGTCAGCCAGGACAGAACATTCTGAAACTGGTCAGATTGCTTTGCTTTAGGCCCAAAAGCCTCCAGTCCAGCCAAAACTTTGTCCCATTGTCCCAATTCAGCTTCGCGCACAATAAATCTCCCACGAAGCTTGACGTCGACACCCGAGGCCTTTGGTCTCATCTCACGGAGCTGGGACATCTCTGCACTTGCAGTCGCGTCATCACCAGCATCTAGAGCGATCAGGGTAATTCTGCGTCTGACAGCATACTGTGTAGACGAAGAAAATACACTGTCGTCAAAAAGACCGCCTTTTTGGAGTAACGTATAAATCGTCTTGACCTCCAGGAAGTCCTTCGTCTTCCTCCAGTAATGCATAAGTAGCCGAGTGGCCCATTCACTGCGATTGGTATTAACTGCCTGCTTCGACTGAGGCTCAAAGCGAGATAAACTTCGCAGTAGGTGCTTCACACCCTCAACGTCGCGGCTGCGGGAAAGACTGTCGAGGAAGGGTACGGCCAAAAGGCAAATATCGTTGCAAACGGGACGGACAGCTTCGAGGATGAGAGGGATGATTCCGTACTCCCGAGACAATGCTGTGGACTGAAGTATCCGGATGCCTCTTGATAAAACCTCCTGGGCCTCTTCACTCTGCGTAGAGGTCAAGGTCAGACTTTTAAGCATTTCGATTGCTCTCGTTTCATTCTGGACACGCTCATCGCGTGGCAAGTCCTGGGTCTCCATTTCCGTAAGGAGATTATCCAGCCGTGACCACGATTCTTGTTGTCCTATCGAGGCTTCATCGGCTAGCTCTAATTTTATTGCGCCAACTTGTCCATCGCCTGACGTTGAGGTGTTATCCATCATGGATATTTTGGTTGAGCCTGTACTGGCGCCCTTCCTGGCCTTGTTTGTCTTGGAATTCGCTGGTCGTGTCCTAGGTGATGATGTAGTTGGTAGCCTGATCTCTGGTGATAACCTGATGGAAAGGGCGTTGTGAGAGAATGCGCTGTTTTCTGATATCCGTGATAATTCCTTTCGTGCTGCGTCCCAGTCGTCCCATCTCCTCTGGCGGTTCTGAGGCGTGCTTGTTGAGTCCCTATCCTCAGGCAGTGTTGTCTCAAAAGACTCTACATGCTCAATCTCCTTCAGGCGCGATAATTCATGCTCCAGCGAGTCAATCCTTGTTCGCCGACGGCGTACAGCATTGTTGGTAGGTGCATGCGAGAAATCGTGAGCAATTTCAACTGGAAAGGATTCTCGTCTACTGCTGTAGCTCTCAGCCAGCGCAGCTGAGTTGCGGTTCACCCGCGCAGTGTGAAGTTTTTTGGCATTGTCGAGAGCAGCTCGAGCGATGTTGAGTCGTCGGCGTCGTTCTTCAGCAAGGATAATGACTGAACAGGACGTTGTCAAGAGAACACCACGGAGAGCGTTGACGGCGACCCGTGAAGGGGCGGGGCTTGGTGTGGCCATTCTAGGCGGTCGTCATCTTGATTCGGACCAATGCTGCCCCAGATCGGCTTTGTGAGGTCGTGGGTTCGTAGGTTGATGTTCAATTCGTTGTCTCGGTATGTCGCTCGCAGTAATTGTCGTGGTGTGATGCACAGGTTCTAGCGAGTGAGATCCAATCGAATTGGAGGTTAGGTACGTACCCGCCCGGCCGAGGGATCGGGACTTTGAACCAATGAGAGAGCTGCGATGGCCAGCGGGCAGCATCAGCCCATTTTAGTTGTTATTATTATTGTATTATTTAACGTCCCACTAGGCTTCCCCTAGCCAATCTCTATAAGGAGTAAAGAGACATACTAAGCTAGCTAAAATAGGCTATTTTATATATAGGCCAGGTAATAGCCTACTAAAAATAAGGCTTTATAAGGCTATATATCTAAATTATAATAGAATTTTAGTAACTTCTTTACCTTTTTAATTCTAAAAAGGCCTTATTTTTAGGGCTTAGTCTTTATTAGCAGAGGTATATAAGCATAGCTATTACTGCCTATTTAATTTAATTATTTAGCAGTTAAATCGTTTAAACCTGTTTTTTATAACTACTAGTAGTTATTTCCTTAAGTATATTAGCTTGCTTACTACTAGTTAACTAGGCATACCTTCCTTAACTAAAAAGAATATTAATATAAAAGAAAAAAAAGAAAGTATTTTTATTACCTAGTTAGGCAGTTAACTTACTTCTAGTATAAGTTTTTAGGCCCTATTTAGTATTATAGGCAGATCTTTATAAAAAAGCTTATTATTTTTATAAACTTAATAAAGTTTTAGTATTTTTTACTTATTATTTAGTTAATTTCCCTTTAAGGCATAGGTATAAGCTATAGCCTCTTATTAAGGGCAATTTTTTAATAATAAAAAAGGTAATTAGGTAATTTCCGCTACTTATAGGAGTATTTAAGCAGGGTATTATTATACTAAAATCTTTTATAGTAATTAGTAAAGTCTTTATAGCCCGTTCTAGCTACTAGTAAATAGTATAGTAAGTATCTATAAAGGCTAAGCTTTTTTAGATATTTTAATATAGCCTTAAGGCTAAGGTTCTTATAGCTATTAAGGATATTAGTAGTTTACTAGTCCTTAAAATCTTTCTTTATTCTAGCTTTAGCCTATTTATAAATATAGGCTAGTATTAGTTAGGCTTTAGGTAATTCTAGAAGTTTATAGCTAGCTTTAGCTAGGGCATTTGCTTATTTATTGCCTTTAATATCTATATACCTAGGGCACTATTTAACCCTAATAAGGCTATAGGCCTAAGATATCTATTAAAATTTAAGGAATATATTCTATAAGGAGTCTAAGGCATTTTACTATAACCCTTTAGCTGCTAATATATTATCTAGGTATATAGTTATATAGTCTTCTGGCTAGGCTAATTATATAGCTGCTTTAAGGCCTTACAGGGCGTCTATTACCTCTATATTAAAGACCTCTGCTTTCCTAAGTTACCTATTACCTTTACTAACTATTAGCCTTAATTAGTAAATTATATATCTATAGCCTATAGCCCTGGATATTAGCTATAACCTATTAAAGTATATAATTAAGTCTAGGGTATTAGTAAACTATAGCTAGGTATTAAAGCTAAGGGCTATATATTTCTTTAGGTAGTTTCTTTTTAGTAGTAAAAGATATATATACCTTAGTACTATAAGTTTAAGCTATAATATAGTAAGGAGGAGTTTCTAAGTATACTTAAGCTATATTAAACTATATATTTTATTCCCTTTTATATTTTTTAAGCTATTTAAAGTAATAACTAGCAAGTACCTTTTATTTAGTACCTATAGTTATATATAAAAGTATCTTTATTTTACCTTTAGTATTTATTTAGCTAGTAAAATACTACTTTTTTTATATAGTACTAAGGTAAGTATTATTCTCTAGACTAGAAATATAGCTTATATTAAGTCCTTAAAAGCACCTTCTATAAGCTATATTAGGTAGTTTACTTTAATATTAACCTATACTTTACTATTATCTTTATTAGCTACTATTAATATATACCTATAGTTAACTATTTTTAAAGTGCTTTTTTTTATATACTATACTTTAGATATATATATTACTATAAGGACTATATAGGTAAGTATAGTACGTTAGATAGTGTCTAGTTAGGGCCTGTAAGCAGTGTTAGAAAAGCTTTAAAGTAAACTAGAAACTATATAGGCTTTAGCTAATTACTTTATTATATAGTTATAAAAGGTAAGCTTTCTATTAAACTATATACTAAGCTATTTTATTTTTCCCTTTACTTTTACTACTTAGCTTTTATACGTAATAATTAGGCTTTCCTTATAGTGCTTATAGGTAAAGTATATTACTTTTATCTTTTTAGGTCTAAATAAAATACCTTACTTTTTTCCTTTTTAGATAATTTTAACTAAGTTATTAATAGCTAGTTAGGTAGTTTTAGTAAAGGTCTTGCTAATTTATATTATAGTAGTATTATTAATATATTTTAGTTTAATTACTAGGGTAATCTTTATCTTTACTACTAGGTATATAAAGCCTGTATTTTCTATACTATAAATCTATATAATATATAGTATATATAGAATAGGTAATGCAGGTAAGCCTTAGGGAAGGCTATAGTTAAGAGGGTAGTAGTTTATCGTAAAGTCCTATAGCCTAATTCTTACTAATCTATCTATTATAAAGGAGTATATTTATTAAATTATTAGTTCTGGCTAGCCTTATTGCTTAAAAGTAAGTACTATTTAGTTTTATAGGGTTATATTAAAAGCTCTTTTAATATTAATAGTAATTATAGTAACTACTAGTCCTTAGTTTAAAAGGAATTTTCTATAATATATATAAGGATAGTAGTAAGGTCTATAGCTAAGTGTTTTAGTAAGGTATTAAATTAGTTAAGGTATAATATACCTTAGTTAACTATAGTATAGGCTATCTATTTTACTATTAGCCTTTCTAGGCCTTTAAAGAGGCAGGAAAGGAAAGCAATTAGTTATTAAAAGTATATATTAAAAAGGTCTTTCTTTTTAACCTTAAGTATTATTACTACTTTTACTAGCTTAAAAGCTAGTAAGTAGTATTTAAGTATAAGGTATTTTTAATATAGTTATAGTATATACTTTTTAATATATAGCTAGATAGCCTTAAGGATATTAATAGTAATATTATTAAAGCCTAGGGATATATTACTTATTAAGGTAACTGCCTATATTATTTCTTTTAGTATAAGTTCTATAGGAAGCTTAATAATTAAAGTAAAGTTAATAGGTACCTATAGGTTAGGTATATTATCCTTTACTATAAATTAATCTAGGATTATAAAGTATAATGCTTTTATTTTCTTTAGTAAGCTAATATATACTTTCCCTTTATATTTAATAGGTAGTACTTATACTTAGTTTTTTAGTTAGATTTAATATATAATAGGCTAGATATCCTTTAGTTTCTAGATATTATTAATAATAGTAGTTTTATTACTTTTTTTAGCTTTTTATACTTCCCTTTAAAAGGCTACTTATACTAGCTAGACTTCTTTACTAAAGTTTAGTAATTACTCTTACTAAAGTTCTTAGTATAGCTTATACTGCTTATTATATTATTTATTTTATTACTTTATATATAGTATATTTTTCCAAGGCATTTAGCTTATATTATTAACTACCCCTAAGATTAGGTCTTATAGTATAGCTACTATAGTAT